AGTAACAAAACGAAATAGAGATGAGACCATTTTTACAGCTAACTGAGGTAAGAGCTTGTAATAGAAAGGGTAGGCATCTAACACGGATTGGGAAGAAAAACACACGTACTATTCTTTTTGCACATCAAGAAGTTAAGGTAATGATGATGATTAATTTGTACATATCTTCACATAGATGGGAGCTTCATCATTCTAATTATCTAATAACACTACATGTCTACTAGATACCCCTAATTCAACCTACTGCTCCGTACAATGGCAACATTCTTTCCACCTTCCCACACCAAAAAACACAATGAAAGGATCAATCAGTCACACGTGGTACCAAGATGTTCAATACTTCAATAGCATATTGAATCCAGAGGAAGCAAAACAAAAAGGGGATTTCATTTCGAGAAGGCTTGAGGTGCCACTGCTCGAGAAGCGGAAACTCTTGTGATCAAATTACTAATAGTCAAAACTAACAGGCATGAATTCAGAAGGTATTTTCCTTTTCTTCTTCTTCTTCTTCATTGACGATGATGATAAACTCAAAGGTTCAGAGGGGTCAGGGGCATTAGAGAGCAGCGGTCCACCCAGCCGCAAGTCTGTATCCTCCTCATCTGAACCCACCCATGTGATTGATTTAACTGCATGCATATACAGTAGACACACTAATGAAGTTGACGAATATGTAGGATGTTGATTGATGAAGGAAGCAAGTATTGAATCGATAATGGATAACTTCGCACTTCAATCATTTATACACACCTACTATTGTTTTAGGCCAGGGTATGAAGGTTAAAGTGACTAGATAAAAAACAATAACAAAGATGGAAGTAAGTGAAAGGCAAATGCATCATCAGTAAGCATTGTATCAACTAAATGCGTGTCTAATTTCTCACCCATTTATCTCTAACTGACAGCGTCAATTGCAACCCCAAGTCATCCTTTACTATAGCAATCATGCACCTTTTATTTCTGGGCCTCTGGGGGGAGAAATGGGACCACAATTTCCATTGGCACCCATTCTTTTTCACATTTCAGCTTATCTTTTAAAAATAACATTCACTTCTTTCCATTTGCTTTTTTCTCCTAACATATCAAGCAACTCAAAATTTTACGCTATTTCACTCTTTCTAATTTCTTTCTCACCCATTTATCTCTAGCCCAAACAAGGGCATATAGTTCCACCACTGAAGCAATTAGTGAATACAAAATAAATAAGGTTTTCATGTTCAAAGTTTCAAACTTGTTCATTACCTTCAGAAGACTCTAGTAATCCTGCTATCTGAGGAGTGGTGTCCTCAAGTGAAGGTGTTGAGTGATGCGTACGTTTTTTCACATAGTCTTTCTGTAGGGGTTTTGGAATCAGAAATGAAAATTGAGACATTTTAACACCCTCAGCTACGTACACTGGGTGTTCATCCAAATACCTGTAAGATTATTTCAATAAAATAAAAGAACAATCACTGTTATATATATTTAGCCATGTAGGCATGTATCTAGTCAATTATCTTGAAGGACCGCAATATTTAGTATGTAGAAATCTATAAAATGAGAGAAATATACTTTTGAATTTCGACCATGGAACGTAATCTCTTTCCTGATGGCGCAACGTAATACCTGCATATATTATTTTATTAAAGAAAATCAAGACCAAGATAGAAGGTTTTGAAGGGCGAACACTGCAGAAAGGCAAACATGATAAAACTAATAGCAGCATTTCAAAGAAGTATATTATAAAGCAGAGGGGAATTGAAGCATACACATCCGCAAACTTGTAGCCACCTTCACCCCTAATTCTCAAAAGCCTTTCCCAGCCAGGAGGAGGCTGTGAAATATTTGGTTTATCAATCGCCCAAAGCCTACTGTCATCCTGAGTAAGATCAGGCGGATCATCACATGATATCTCAGGCCTCCACTCGCGGGCTGTTTCACAAAAGAAAGGATCTTCCAGTATGTGTTCCCTTATCTCCTCATATTTTTCCTTGGTTGGGATAAGCCTCCATTTAAAACAGTTTGCGCATTGAACAGTGAAAGCTCCTACCGATGGCAAAACCCTCTGTGCATAGGATGAGTGATTAGGAAATAACACCTTTCGTAAACTTGGAGAAACTGGCTGATCAGTAACAGGTTCTCCATTAACAGAAGGATCATACAGCACCAACTGGTTTTGAACATTTTCATGCTCGTCATCCTCTGTACAAGTATCAACTTGTTCTCCTCCAGAATTAGTGTTTTTGGGATTTTGAAGAGCGGACTCACAAACCACAGGGGAAGTACCCTCAACATCATTTGGTTCGCTCTTCATGATATCCAAGGAACTCCGGATAGAACTGGTAATGTGAATCTTAGCATTTCTCCCTGTGTGAGGATCCATATGCTGTTCCATTTTAGTTCTTATTAACCTGGGAAATGTGACATACTTTTAACATATTTAGAAAAAAACCATTACCTAAGAATATACACAAGTGCATAAGTCATACGGTACATGTCAATTCAAAAGGAAGAATAGGTGTAGAGATCAAACTAAAATATTTTAACCTCTAAATATGGACTTATGATTTATGAAGTGATAGTTTCTAAAATGATGAATGGTAGAAAAAGTCACTAGAAAAGCCATGCACCACCCAAATTCAACCTACTAGTTAGCTACCACAACTGATGTTTAGTACATACCCTTAGTCCAATTTACATCCTCCCATCTAACTGTCCGGTCGATGATGGGAATCCTCCCATCTAACTATCTTGTCGGTATTGGGGGCCCTCGGGGATGGGACGTCATCCTTTTTTTAGTACCTACCCTTAGGGTGAATTCCGTTGTCAGTTAGCTCTGTACTAGGCGTCTCTGGTGAGACTAGCTGATTCTTGTTTTGAAGATCATATGTGCTAATTAGACAAGTTCCTACTTCTGGATATGGGTTCGTCTTAAGAATCTGACGACAGGGGTTGTACTATGAATATAACTCGGTAGGGAATAGCAGCAAATAGAATAATAAAAATCAGCACAAATCCAGCAAGAATAATAGGATATTCTGAATACGGATCCAAAGGTATCTCAGAAGTAAACTGCTGATCACAGAGCTCATATCCCAGGAAACAAAGATGGCGAAGAAGTCAAGAACAATGTAGATACAAAACAACGCAAGAACAAAGAAGCATTCGCCGATTCATAGTATATAACTCGAAGTGCAAACAAATTACACATAGCAATAACACACACAAGCGTGCAATGTAGATAGATACACACTGAAACAAACGAACACACAAAATAATGCACATATATGCAAACCCAATCCAAAGAAGAAAAAGAGAATTACAGAAGCGGAGAGTGAATGACAGTGAGCAGACGATGCGGCGAGCTACAAGGAAAGGACCGTTGCCTGGTATACCCCAAATGGACTATCTTAAAATGAATGTATAAAATGCCGAACTCTACTCGGTTCTTTTTGCCTCGGCATCTGAGACAGAGGAAGAAGAAGACGAAGCGCGAGGTTACCGAGGAGATTGGGTTAAATTCGTAGACAGTAAACACTATTCGTCGTTACATTTCTTGCTAGTTTTTAAAATGGAATTACTACTGCTCTAAGCTCGAGCTTAGAGGATGTCATTTGTTTTTAAATAGAAGATGTAAAGTAGTATGAGGCTAAATTACGGACCAAAAGATCTTTTCTTTAAATACTTACTCCATTCCCTTTTATTGGCAACTATCAACATTTCACGTTCGCCAACACACGTTTAATCATTAATATTTTTCATTTTCCATTAATGAAAAGTTTTAAAAAAATTATATTTGAAAATTTAAAATGAGAAGAATTGAACAATTTTTTTAAAATTTTAATTTATAATACATTAATTAATAATATATAATCAAAGAATAATATGTGAATAATCTAAAAAGTCCAATGTTACAAAGAATATGTAGTTCACAACATTTGTTTCCGTTTTTAACTTTAATCCATACATTTTCCATTTTTTAAATATGTATATCAAGTCAAAACATGAGTTAATATTGGACAGATGGAGTATCATTAGTACCGTAGTATGTGCACATCTTTGTTATTTTAAGAGAACATCTTTGTTGTAATTTAACATTTTAAATAGGGAAAAGTGTCAGATAATCTCCTACTATTATGAAAATGTCAATTAAACCCACCAACTCAAATATCACTCAATTAAGTACTCCAACTATAAAAAAAAGTTCAAATCAACTTTTTATCAAGTTAACCTTCAGTTATCCAGTTCGTATACCGTGGGAGCGGCCCATATTGAGCATCCTACTCCCGCGGCAAAACGACGTAGCATTAAATTAAAAAAACGCGCACACAAACCAACAAATTCTTTCTCCCACCTTTTCCCTCCAGCGGTTATGCTCTCAACTCCCGATGTTTTACATTTACGCCTTTTCGAAGTTCGAAATCCAAAAGTCTACTTTCTGAAAAAGTCTCGCTCTACATTTCTTCTGAATCAAGCAAGTTCGACGAAGTGTTTTTTTTTTGAAACAAATCTCTGCAAAGAAGACAAGAGATTAAGTAAAGGCTTTCACCGGAGCAACTTGAAGATCAAGTTCAGCACCAACTACAACCAAAATGGTTAGGGTTAAGGAAAAATCGGCTGTCAGGTATAAGCTATAACATAGACTCAAATATTACTCAATGCGATTGTTTTTTTGTTATGAAAACATGTGTATTATGCCCTGAAATGTGTTGTTTACATGTAAATACAAGCAAAGTAATTTTTGGTTCATAATCCGCATCTGACTATATTTAAAAGGTCAAAATCCCGGATGTTTACTTAAGTTAACAAGTATATACAATGTATAAGGTATTATTTGATAGAAAATGTTGTCCAGAGAACATTTTTCGAAGTGCTTGTGTATGGTGTAACTTCATTGAGTTATTATGTAACTTCTGTATGATAAAATGTCACTTGCTATTTATCTGCAAGTATTGGAGCCATTTTTGATTATTGAACAACTTGTGTAACTTATGTAAGTACGGATAGAATTTATGTAACATAAGTATATTAATATGTAACTTATGTCAATTCTTAGTTACATGTAACTTTGGGATATAACTTATGAAACAAGTGTATAATATTATGTAACTTATCAAAATTGGTCATTATAAAATTGAATTTTACAATTGTATTTATCCAATGACTGCTACTATACTGCCCAGAATTAATTATTTAACAGCTGGCGTGTAACATGTAACTACAAATAAAATAGATGTAACATAAGAATATTAATATGCAACTGTTGTGAGGACTTGTGTAACTTTTGAAATATAGAACTGAATCACATCCAAGGGCATAACATGTAACTTTGAGTTATAAATTATGTAACTAATGTATAATATTATGTAAATGCTGTTATGAGTTATATAAATTAATAATGTTAGCTTAAATTGATTATGACTTGTGAATGTTATTCTGTATAATATTAGGAATATAAGAAGCAATGAAACAGAACAGAATGAGAATTTTAAAATGGAAACAGGTGTATAATATGAATGTTATTCTGTATAATATTAGGAATACAAGAAGGAATGCAACAGAAGAGAATGAGAATTTTAAAATGGAAACAGCTGTATAATTATGACTTGTGCATGTTATTCTGTATAATATTCTGTGTTATTAAGTTGATATGTAACTTCTGTTATTTGAGATGTAATTGATGTTAACCTGATATGTAACTTTTGTTTATTGAAATGTAAATGTTGTTAATTTGATATGTAACTGCGGTTTATTAGAGATGCAATTGCTGTTGAATTCAGAAGTAATTTGAAAAGAACCTGCTATTCAATCAATTGTTTACTAACCAGTGTTATTGTCTTAGTTATTGTCAACTAATGTATAATATTATGTAAATGCTGCTATGAGTTATATAAATTAATAATGTTAGCTTAAATTGATTATGACTTGTGAATGTTATTCTGTATAATATTAGGAATACAAGAAGCAATGCAACAGAAGAGAATGAGAATTTAAAAATGGAAGATTGTGTACCAATACAGAGTCAAGAACCATTGCAACTGTTGACTTATGACAAGCCAACTACAACCAGAAAAAGAAAAACAGTTGTAATATCACATGAAGAATCCAAAAAGAATGATGAACAAATAGATGGAAACACTGCTGTCAACTTAAGAACCAGAGTAGGACCAGCTCCATTTATCAAGTTGATTAAATTGCTGGATGAAAATAAAAGAGCAGCAATTGAAGAGATTGGCTTTGGAGGTCTGCTGAACCTAAGTTTTGACAGATTTTATGGAGACTTTGTCCAATTTCTATTGCAAAGTTTGTGACCAATATCAGCTCAGCTACAACCCACAAATGGTGAGTTGTTGGATATTGAAGAACAAGATGTTAGAGCTGTTTTTGGTTTGCCGATGGGAAAGATTGATGTCGAGGAAGCAAATGCCAAAAATGAAAGTGAAGAGTACATTGAATTGTTGAAGCAGTGGAGAGAGTACTGGGGAATTCAAAAGGGCAGCCCAGAGACAACAAAAATGATCCAAAAAATCATTGATGATGATGATTGTGGAGATGTTTTTAAGAGAAATTTTGTGGTGTTCACAGTTTCATGCCTCATCAGAGGCAATCAGAGTATAAAGAGCAACTTCAAGATCTTGCTCTCTCTGATAAAAGTTAATGAAATCAAGAACTTGAACTGGTGCAAGTATGCAAGACGATCATTAATGGATGCTGGAGAAGAATGGCAAGCTCAGCCAACAAAGATGTTCACTGGACCGTTGCTGTTTATGATGATTTGCTACTTCGATATAGTGCAATTTAAAGGTCAGGTTTTGGATACTCTTTATCCAACAATCAGAATCTGGAGCAAAGAAAGAATTGAAAAGAGAATAAAAGATGAGAGGAAGTTGGGATTCGGGCTGGGGAAGGTGATCCCACGAATTATGATAGCTGATGAAGAGAAAGAAGAACGAGAAGAAAATGAAGAAGCCAATACAGAACAAAATGAAGATGAAGAGATGATTTCTAAAGAGGTAAATTTTAAATAAACACTATATCTAGGTTAGTTGCTTCACTTATGTCACTGGAGTTACACACTATGGAAGTTACATACTGTTGATCATTACTTACATATACTTGAACTAAAGTTACATACAATTGATCATAAGTTACATTGCTTATATTTCATATCTAATGGTATATGAAACTTACAAATGAAATTTAATTTTTGTAGGACTGTGTGAAATAATTGCTGTTGCACAGAAGTTCAGCGATGCTTTTGTGGAATTCTCAAAACTTCCAGCAACAATTTCTAAAAGATTTCCCAATTCCGATATCTTGAAAAAGATATACTTGACAACAGCTGATTACTTCTTCAGACAAGCTAATGGCAGTGCCAAGGAATCAGAAAAAGAGAGGTTGGCAGAAAAGTGCACTCTTGATGAGGACGATGATTTTTTCAATATACCAGGGGTAATGGAAGCCCTAGATAGATTAGAAAAAGCTGCTTATCTGAAGTTCTCAATGCCTTCATTTGATCTGGGCATTGAGTTCAGCATGACACAACCTTCTCAAAATGAAAAAAAATCAACAAATGAGAATCCAGTTGCTCAAATGACTGAAGACCCAATAATGAAGATCTCTAGAAACATAGAAGAAGAAAACAACAAAGAAGAAATGGTTGAGATACTTGAAGGAGGAGTGAGGGAAGAAGAATATAGAAATCAAGAGGATGTTGTAACTGAAGAGCAAGAAGATGTAGAAGAAGAAGTGAAGATGACAGCACCTGTGGCAAAAAGGCAGAAGCTGAAAAATGCATCTAAGGCAGCTGATACAGAATGGAAATTCAGGTCACCATATCTCAAACACAATCAGAGGCTGTGCAAGGAGATGAGGAAGGAAGAAAAAATGGTGATTGACTATGCATTTTCAAAGGAAGTTGGAAAGTAAGATGTTCTTTATTATATATATCATTATTCAAGTGATTATGCAAGATGTAACTTCGGTTATACTTTATGCAAAAAGTGTATAACAACTATGTAAGTCGTGTGATGACTTATGTAAATTGTTTTCAAAGATAGAACAGGCTTTAGAAATTGTTGAATTGTATTTATAAAATTTAACTTTTTTATTTAATCATAGAAATCATTTACGAAATAATGTTCACTGTGTTTTTAAAAAAAAACATGCAAATGCTGTTAATGAAAGATGTAATTGTTATTAAGTTGAGATGTAACTTCTGTTATTTGAGATGTAATTGTTATTAAGTTGAGATGTAACTTCTGTTATTTGAGATGTAATTGATGTTTATTGAAATGTAAATGCTGTTAATTTGATATGTAACTGCGATTTATTTGAGATGTAATTGCTGTTGAATTCAGATGTACTTTGAAAAGAACTTGCTATTGAATCAATTGTTTACTAACCAGTGTAATTGTCTTAGTGAATTGCTGTATAATGATGACTCAAGCCTGTTTTTGAACCATGAGGAGTTCCAAACACTTGAAGATGACAAAGAAGTTGACAATTCAGTAATAAATGCATGGGTAAAATTACTGAATGACAGAGAACACAAAAACAATCCTCCCAAACGAGCACTGATACTTTCTACATCGGTCTATGTACGTAACATTTTTCTTATTCATTGAATAAATAAAAAAATATTCATTATTCTGATTCATTTCCATGGTTGATAATAAACAGGCACAATTTGCAGTGTTATATGCAAACAAAGAAGACATGATGGTAGAGAGGTTGGAATTTGAAGTTGATAAACAAGGAAATCTCAAAGATTATGATATGGTAAAATGTTATTATTACTGAAAAAGATAAATGAAATGATTCACTATGAAATAATTAACTAATGAATGCTTTTCATGAATTGCAGGTCTTGTTTCCTGTACACAAAAGTCAGCACTACTATATTTATTGCTTCTATACAAACAAGAATATAATTGATGTCATAGACAATAGAATTCTTGAAGACGGGTTGGAGTTTAAAGACAAGTATGAGGAGAGCTTTAACCAACTGGTAAACTTATGTTCATGCATTACAGAAATATCAAGCATTGTTAAATTTATTATTTTGTAAATGTATTAGTGTGCTAATGCATATCCTGAAAATAGGTGGAAGGATTTAAAAAGTACTGCAACAAGATTAAACATCCAGCTGGAAGAATGGCCACATGGAACCCTAGAATCTTGAATATGCCATGGAGGTACAATGGGAATTATGTTGACTGTGGCATTTTTGTAATGCGTCACTTGGAAACATATCGTGGACAGGGAGACAAGTGGGATTCAGGATTCCCAAGTGCATCTAAAGCTGCTGGAATAAAAGCTCAGAAACAAACACTGAAGAAGCTCAGACTTGTCTATGCAGCAGAAATCATAAGCTCAAAATTCAACATGGAAAGGGAAAATGTTTATAAAAGAGCAAAAGACTTCATAAATATGTAAAGTACATTCGTTTTTAAGGTGGCAGGTGGAAGGTGGCAGAATATTATGGGTATCTCAAAACATTATTTGTTTTGAGTGGTCTGTTTTTTTAAAAGTACATTCGTTTTTAAGGTGGAAGGTGGAAGGTGGAAGGTGGCAGAATATTATGGGTATCTCAAAACATTATTTGATATTATTGGTGGAAGGTGGAAGAATATATATTTCCAATAGATTATGAAGTTCTATTAAAACATTTCAAGATTTCTGGTTTGTTATTAGTGTAGTACATTATGCAACTTTCATGTATGATCTATGTCACTTTGGTTTATTAAAATTGTGTATGTTATGTATGTTATGAAGTTTGTGAATAATGTGTCTTAGTACGTTACTCAAAACTACTATAAAGACTCCAGAGTGCTTTATTCAAGTGATTATGTAAGATGTAACTTCGGTTATATCTTATGCAAAAAGTGTATAACAACTGTGTAACTCGCGTGATGACTTATGTAAATTATTTTCACAGATAGAACTGAATCGCAAAGAACGGGCTTTAGGAATTGTTGAAGTCTATTTATAAAATTTAATTTTTTTATTTAATCATTCAAATCATTTACGAAATAATGTTCACTGTGTTTTTCAAAAAAAAAATCATGCAAATGTTGTTAATGAAAGATGTAATTGTTATTAAGTTGAGATGTAACTTCGTTTTTTTATAGATGTAATTGATGTTAACTTCGGGTTATGTAACTTTTGTTTACTGAGATGTAATTGTTCTTAATTTGATATGTAACTGCGGTTTATTTGAGATGTAATTGCTGCTGAATTCAGATGTAATTTGAAAAGAACCTGCTGTTAACTTCAGATTTAAATTCTCTTAATCTCATAATGTGTTAATAAATTTGAGTTTAAGCATAATAGTAACAAAGGATAACACAATGTTAACAAACAGTAAAGGTAATGTAAATGCCATAAAAACAAATGTAACTCACATAACCAGAAATGTAACCAAAGGATAACACAATGTTAACAAACAGTAAAGGTAATGTAAATGCCATTAAAACAAATGTAATTCATTTAACCAGAAATGTAACCAGCAACAATTAAATATTTAATGTCTCTAACTTTTACAGTAAAACAAAAACAAAGGTATAACATGTTTCTGAAAAACTTATTTCACTAAAACTAATTCCGCATTTGGTGAACTGCATTACATTGCATGAAGTATGGATCTAAAACTTGTGGAGATCCAAACACACTCATCAAAGAAGTCATTCCTCCAACTGGATGAACAAGATAACCTCGTGGAACCATAGAACTGACTGTGTCCTAGAATTCAAGAAGAAAAATAATTGCTTCAGTAAAGGTGAATTAAAGAAGAAAAAACATATAAAAATAAGAAAATACCTGAACAACAGATTGTGCATCTGCTTTTGAATTACTTGCAACATTTTGAGATTTAGAACGTCGACCTTTGACTATTTTGCACTGTTTTTCAACGATGCTTCTCTTCCGTGTATTTCGCTGACCTTTAGGACGAGAACGTGGAGGATCAAGTATTGTCCTCGGATCAGAACCCAATTCATCTACACCAGAAACATTCTTTTGAATATCTAAAAATTGTTTGATAGATTTATACCCTTCCTCACATACTTGCCTAGCTTCAGGTAGACCAGAACTTGCACCCAATATGGTATTGAATTTTCTAGTCATTTGCACTCTCCAAACAGAATCTTCAATTATTTTCCCACACATAAGATCTCTTCCTTGAGTAAAAGGAGGACTAACATGTTGCAAAATAGCAGCCTTTGTCCATGTGGGGAGTATATAAACTTGGGGAATACATTTCACACAATGGATGTTATATATACGCAATATGTGTCTACACAAAATGCCAACTTCTGAAAACATCTTACAACTGCATGTCACTGTGTTGTCATTTCCATTAAAAGTAACGTTGTGCCTAATCAAATCTACACCATTCAACCAAACATGATACACGTAATCATGAGAATTCTCTGTCATTAATTTAAAAAAGTGTGACATACCCTTCAAATATTGTTCTTGGAACAGTTTGAATATCTCAAGGGTGTACACATCTCTAGCATGTGACAAAATACTATCTTGCAGCAGTACCATCTCAACGGTGCCTTCTGAACATATGAAATCTTGACCATTTTCCTCTGACCTCCACTCATCAACAACATCACCAAACATTTTGTAAAAGTCACACAATGTTGCAGTTTTGAGAGTCTTCTGGATATGGATATATTTGTAGATTCACTTCTTTGGGAGGATAGAACGCCGCCAGAGAAATAATCCTTTGAAAATGCAGGACACCACTTTTCTTTATGACTATAGAGCCTTTTTAACCATTTATTGTCACTGCATTCATACACTTTGTTCAACCTGAAACAAAGTAAAAAACTAACACAAAGTTACATACTAAAGCAACACATGTTACACAAACGCAATGAACAAGTTACACGGAATAAGTAAGAGGTTACATCAAAATACAAATAACTTACTCAGACCAGTAGAAATCAAACTCTGCAACTGTGTCACATCGTTTGACAACATAATCAAATAGAGGAACAAAATTTATCTTCTTCCGTAGAAACATGATGTGTTTTTCGAATTCTCATCTATATGTCAAGTGCATAGTCGATGTCTTGACTCAGGGAAAACTGATTTTATAGCTGCTGCCATTGAAAATGATTGGTCTGTCATAAACGTGATAGGGTGTTTACTCCCCATATATTTCAAAAAAGTCTGGAATAACCAAACAAAGGACTCCACCTTTTCATTCAACATAAAGCCACAACCAAACATAATATTCTTACAGTGATGATTCATACCAACAAACGGACCACAAATCATGTCATATTTGTTAGTCCTGTAAGTTGTATCATGCACGACTAAATCACCAAATCTCTCATAATCTGATCTCATTTGGTCATCTCTCCAGAAAAAACAACTTAGTACACCTTCATTTACTTCAAAATCAAAGTAAAAATCAGATTCCACTTCAGCCCTTTTCTTCAATATAGAAATCAAAGTGTTAGAATCACTACCATCAAACGTTTTAATCTTTTCAGATTCTAGAACGTTATAAGCATCACGTTTGGTGAATCCAAGAGCACTAACCCCACCTGCCTGTTTTTGAAGCATACGGTGAATATCAGAAACCTTTGCCCCGCTCTCCTTCATCAACATAATAAATTCAAGATACTCATGATCAACACCTCGATGTGATTTGAGAAGGTGTCTTTGACCAATTGGACAAAAAGAATGGTTGTGATCAGTAATATGCTTTGAAACAGTCCATTCACCATCAACACTAATAGAAAACTGCAGCTTTGCTTTACAACCTGAACGATAATCTAATTTCGTATACATTTTGTTTTCAGTGCCCTTTTGTAGTTTCTTCCCTTCTTTCCAACAACAGTAAGACTTCATAATCAAACTTACATTGCCACTCCTAAACCTCTGTTTGCATCTTCGAATACCAAATCCATTTTCAAAAGCATGACTGTTGTAAAGATTATAAGCATCTTTTTCAGATTTAACACACAATCCAACAAGTGATTTATTCTCGGTTGCCTTGTCAATAGTTGCAAATGTATCTGACATTTCATAAAGGTGATAGATGAAAAACAAACCACTGTAAAGAAGATACATACAATTGAATACAAGTTACATAGTGTTGATCATAAGTTACATACACTTAAACTAAAGTTACATTTTAATAAACATAAAGCTACATAAAACTTAACTCAAGGCACATAAGTTACATACATAAAGGTACTCAAGGCACATAAGTTGCATACATAAAGGTACAGTTCAATTACATACAGTAGAACAAAAGTTACATACAACAAAACAGAAAGTTACATAAGCTTTAGCGCAAGTTACATAAGCTACATAAAACTTAACTCAAGGCACATAAGTTGCATGCATAAAGGTACAGTTCAATTACATACAGTAGAACAAAAGTTACATACAACAAAACAGAAAGTTACATAAGCTTTAGCGCAAGTTACATACATTAGAAAAGAAGTTGCATAGATTTGAATGTAATTTACATATTATTAAACAAGATATTAGTGCATACTGCAAACATAAAACGAAGAACCAAATTACATAAAACTAAACAAAAGTTACATACAATTGAAATAAAATGACACGACATCGAACAAAAAATAAACAAAACAAAAATTGAATCACATGACAGGAAAAGTACCTCTACTAAGAAGATGTAACAATTTAGAAGCCATTGAACCAGTTTCATCTTCTCCTGAAAGGAAAACAACAAAATTCAACCAATATGAATACTACACTCCAAATTCTAAAGCAATAAGATAAAACAGAAAACAAAACATATTACAGCATACTGCAAGCATAAATAAGATAAATTAAATTCACAAAACTCAAAAACTGTAATGTTTACCAATGTGCTCGATATGAACCGGCTGATCACATTCAAAATTATTGTCAACGGATGAAGGAATCACGTTATCATGTATAGTAAAAGGAATAGAATCTCCGAATTCAATCGATGAATTCACAACAGCTGAATCATCTAGAGAGAAATTCATTGAAGCCTTTGAAGGCAAATCAGGTTCGTAAGCTCAGTGAAACAAAAACGGAAGAAGGAAGCGGAAGAAAGAAGTCGGATTCATTGAAGCCTTTGTATGTTATATAGAACACGATGAACTTTATTAGTTTTAAAACATCAATCATACTAATTGGAAGTATAAGGTAGATCTCGAAGTAGGATTTTTTTTAGAATAACAAAGTTTTGGTTGTGAATCGTTAGAGAAGAAGAAAAACCCAGATTTATTCGTAATGTAATTTGAATATGAACAAGATTAAAGTCGTGGTTGAACTCATAGTATTCATTTTTATGAAGAAGACTATATTGAACTAGATCGCAAAAAAAAAGAACTCCAACCGAAAATTGCCGAAAAAAAAGAGAAGATTGCTTCACGAATGTAGATTTATTTAGTCATTTTTTTAAATAAGGAAAACAATGTTGTATTGATATCGGTATATCATAT